TTTTCCAAGCATATACTTATTGCTTTAAAAGATATTATTGTTTATACATGGAAATATTAGGGAAAAATCTTTTCAGTTTCATCTAAAATAAAAAATCTTATTCCAAATAAGCTGTTTTGATTGAGGTGATGTGGTTAAGATTTCTTACTTGTATCATATTCTTATATTTATTCCGAGTGAAGAATTTGTCGCCTGAGAATTATAATGTTCTAATTTGTAATTTTTCTGTTTTGACTATTTTGGTTTCATGTAAAAACGGTCTTGTCCCACTTGTAAATTATTAGTTCTGTTCTCTTTGCATCTGAATACTTTGATTTAAGAAATGAATCATATTTTTTTTTTTATCTTTGATCGATGCATGCATGCCCAAGAAACTTGTACGGAAAACTTCATCAATGCGCGTTGTATTTATGATTAATTAATATGTTTTTACACTGTATATATATTTTCACTGTATTGATTTTGCATTGGTTAAAGTTAGAAATGATTTTGAGCAAATACTTAATTCTTTCATTTCTTTGTACATTGTTTTTTTTTCTCCATAAAGCGGCGAGTAAAAGCTGCATAATTTTTTTATAGGTCGTTTTAATTCTTCTGTGCTAAATTTTAACGATATCTTGGGGGTTAACCAATTGCAATAGTTTTTATTTCACAGTCTGTCCTCTGCCTTGTTACAGATAATTTACTGTGTGAACTGATCGCCAGAACTTTTCACTAGTTTTAAATTTCACGTAAAATGGAAGGTCGTGAACCTAGTGAAATTAAAACCATCGTATAAATTTCCCAATCTACTGTAAATAACATTGTCATATCGTACACATGTACCATTTATTATAAACTTCTAGTGAGACTTTATAAATAACGATCAGTGATATCTTTTCTAGCATATACATGTATGTATACATTTTTATTGTTTTGAGCATTATACAAAAAAATTAATTGTGCATGATGATCCAGAAAATAAAGATGTTAACATCAAACTTAAGCAAATTATCAAAAGAAACTCATTACATATTCCAAAAAAATCTCAAAAATCACCTATGAAAATCTGTTTTCTCTCAGAAATATCCTTGTCAGTAACCTAGTCAGACTATGACTTTTTTTCCTGTCGCCTATGACCACAATTCAACATACAATTCAACATACATCTGTCTTTTAAGAAATAATGTCATCGGAAAAAGTAATCCAGAAAAACTGTACAAATATATACATGCATCTTCATCATTCTTCAAAGAAACAGCAATACTCTATTTACTCGTTTTTGACATCGAATAAAAATTCAGATAAAGTGAATCACTGATTGCCAATCAAGTCATTTTAAGTCAGTATTTTCCTTAGAATGAGGAAAAAGGGCAATTCTTGCGATTCTCCAGCGCTGATTGTGACTATGATATTGGTCAATACATCTTCACCAATCGGAATAGCACATTATCTCGGATCATTTCACCTCCACCAACCGGAATCGCATCATCCTGGGTCAAGTCATCTTCACCAATCGGAGTCACACATCATCTCGTGGTACTCTTTGTCCTGTATCAGTACAGAATCACGTTCAAGCAGCAGATCGTCCATGACATCGGAAGTCATCGGGTGTGTTCTGCTTGGAATACACACAGCAGTCTGTTTCTTGTCTGCTTCTTCACTTGCGAGACCTTCAGCAGGAACTTTAAAACTTTCAGAAGTTTTAGAAAAGAACTGTTCTTCGCAGGGTTTTCCCCAATCCACGTTTGATTTTGGTCTCCGAGAACTACGATGAATGGTTGATTCTCTCTTTGTCGACTTCTTACCAGCAAGTCCTTTGGCTTTTGTTCTTCTGTTCATAAACCACGTCTAAAAGTTAAACAAAAACAACTTTAAAATTAACTTTTTTATATATATTTTTAGACAAGAAAATCCCCCAGTGATTGATTAGTCCATACTAGTACTTGCAATGGTGACAATTTAACACCAATATTCCTACAACTGAAATCATGGGAGAGAAAAACTGTTTTAATGTGTTCCATTAAAATCTTGGACACTCACAGATTATAATTAGTGCAGTTGCAATCAGGATACGTACTCTGTGGAGCATAGCTAGAGGTGAACTTTTTGAAATTCAAAAAAACTTCTAAAAATTTATAAATAACTTCATTTGTTTCAATTGTATCTATCTGTTTATCAGATTATTGATTCATGTATCCTTAAAAAAAGAATTGAAGAGATGGTAGGCTTTTTCATGCACGAAGCATGATTATTTCAATTCTATTTAATGAACCTAACTATATGTTTAAAAGAGTTATTTTAAGACTTAAAGCAGATTTGTTGATTACGTGGTACTAATAATTTTTGTTTCAGATTTTGAAAAAAAAAGAAGAGTTTATAGCCCTCGAAAAAGAAAAATGGAAAACTTTGTTAAAAGAGTCAATCGCAGAAAAAGACTGCTTTGGATCTCTAGTCTTTAGATTTTACTAAGATTACCTTTAGTCTTTTAATATTTTCACCACTGTCTTCTGCAACCATCTGTAAATCCTCATTTCTTGGATAAGGGGTCATCTGAAACAAGTACTCCAGAGTGTGGACGGTCCTCTGCGAAAGTCTTGGTCTTTTCGCTAGGAAATTTAAGAAACAATTAGTTGCACTTTCCTCAATGTTTCAGAAAATTAAATTGTAAAAATTAGCCCCTTTCGGTCGACTTTTTAGATCGAGATATTGCATTTATTGTTGTATTAGAGAATGAATCATGACAGACCAGGGTATATCGATAGATTTGCCATGCAATCTTGACTTTAAGTTTGGCATACCAAACGTGACGAATGGCAACCTTGTTTGTTTGAGTTAATGGGACATCAATATCCATAAAATTTTATTTAAAAAAAAAACTTTAAATTTTTTTTAGTTGTTCTACAGTGGACAGAGATTAAATTTGAACAGGAAAATTAATATTAATGAAACACTAAACTATATGCGTTTCAATCACAAGATTATTGCATATAAATCACAATACATTGTACTTTTAGATATGAATCTTTTTTTTTTTTTTTTTTTTTTTTTTTTGGGGGGGGGGGGGGATATAGGACTTTTCGCATATAAATCACCAGAGTAGCCCTTAAACTTAAAAAAAAACTTCCAAAAATGTCTATCTGTAGTTGCCTACCGACCCACTTAAAATGCAGTCGAACCCCCCCCCCCAGAAAAAAAAATTGAGTCATTTCTTCAGGTAATTTTTTTTGGGAGGTGGGGGTAAGATTCCAGTTTTCGGAATATTGAAACTGTTTCATTTTCTATTTTTGTTTTTATCAAATAATTAATAGCTTAAAATAAATGGATCTTATTTACTTTAGTAGCTCTATGAAAATCCTTATGATTTGTTATCGAACATTTTTTTTCAAAAATTCCTACATAAAATTCCTACCTACCCACTAAAAATTACAGGTTGGCAACTGCAATCAGAGGTTTTTTTTTAAGCTTGGCCTTATCGAATCAAATTTTTGCATTAATAACAACTTTATGAATATGAATAACAAGTTTTCGAATATATACCTTTACAAGATCACAAAATTACAAGATTATCGCCTTTAAATCACAAAATTACAGAATATGAATCACAAGTTTTTTTGTTTAATATCAAGTCTTTAAATATGAATATCAACAAATCACAAATTTTTGCATATAATTCATACATTTATGACATGACTTTAAATAACAATTATCGAATATAAATTAAAAAAAACTAAATATAATTCACAAGTCTATGAATATAAATCTAATATGAATAACAAGTTTTCGAAGATGTGCATGCTGCCTGAAAACAAGTTTTATTAAAAACATGTATAACATAAGATTTCTTGAATATTTCAATATTTTATACAAGCGTCCTTACATAAGTAAATATGGTTTGTTTCCGGTTTGCACACATTTGAATTTCAGGATAAAAAGTGTGCAAAACGGGAATTTGCCAAGGTAAGATAATTACTTAATTGCTATAGTCTATATCTTAGGTATGAATTTGAAGAAATCTACAGAAAGAATAGGAAGAAATTTTATTAATTAAGATTGAATTCATTTACTCATTCATTTTATCTTTTTGAAATAAAAAACAGAGTGAACTGCGATAAGGATATTTGTCTAGAAAATCGACTTCATCTTCAGATGGGTTCGACTAGTTAAATTTTCAAAATTTATTCTTTTAAATGTATATTATAATGCATTGGTAAAATACAGGTAACTAGTATTAATTGTAACGGGGACCGTTACAGATGTTCCCCAAACGCTCCCCAACTTCGTTTCGGTGTCTTATTCCCTGTAAGCTTCATTAAATAAGGCAATTAAGTATATTGGTTTTTTTACGCATTACACGCGCGCGCACGGACATCCATGTACAAAATGACCATGTCAACTTGTCTACACTTTTAATATATCTTTATATTCAAATTTCATCAAAGATGAAAAAAAATCGGCTATATTAAGTATATCTGTCATTTTACGCATTGCAAGCGCGCGCACGTGCATGCATGTCCATGATGACCATATCATCTTGTCAACAGTATATATATATCTACATATTTTGAGTATTAAAGCATTTCATCAAAAAGTATAAAAGTTACAGCTATATCAAGTATATTGGTCATTTTAGCATTGCATGCGCGCGCATGTGCATGCATGTGCATGCTGACAATCTCGTCTTGTCTACATTTATAATATGTCTATATATTCTGAGTATCAAAGCATTACATCAAAAAATGTAAAAGTTATGGCTATATCAAGCATATTGGTAATTTTACTCATTGCACGCGTACGCACGTGCATGCATCTGTGCGCTGACCATGTCATCTTGTGTACACTTTTAATATATCCTTATATCCTGAGTATCAAAGCATTTCATCAAAAGACCTGAAAGTTATAGCTATATCAAGTATATCTGTCATTTTACTCATTGCACGCGCGCGCACGTGCACGCACGTACATGCATGCGTGAGTTGATCAAATCTTCTTGTGTACACTTCTACTATATATTTATATTCTGAGTTTCAATGCAATTCATCAAAAAATGTACAAGTTAAGTCTATATCAATTGTATTGGTTATTTCAATCAATGCGCATGCGCGCACGTGCATGCATGCGCATTCTGACCATGTCATCTTGTCTACACTATTAATATATCCTTATATTCTGAGTATCAAAGCATTTCATCAAAAAATATAAAAGTTACAGCTATATCAAGTATATTGGTCATTTTACGCATTGCATGCGCACGCACGTGCATGCGCGTGCGCGCAAAATGACCTTCGTTCCGCAAATCTACATAACATTCCTATTAACCCTAAAAAGGTTTCACCTCAATCGGATGTGTAGTTTCGGAGATCACTCACGGACAAAAAAGTACCCAGAAAAGAAAAATAATAATAATAATAATAATAAGAAACAGAGTAAAAACAATATGTTCCCAAACTTCGTTTGGGGAACATAATTCCAGGTAAATCCCAGATGGAGATCAGATTATAATTCCTATCAAAACATATTTCACACCTATTGTTCTATACCCACTTAACAAATGTGTGATAAACGGGAACACACCGTAAATATGGAGTTCGGATGGGGCCACTGTTACAACGCACTTTAAAAAAAATTACGCACTTTGAAAAATGTTTTCAAAGTGCGTTAAATTTGGAACCAAGTTAACGCACTTTGGAAAAAAAAATTCTTTTCGAAGTGCGTTAAAGGTGCTTAGACACAGATTTGAACTTAATATTTTCTCAAATTTTCTGTATAATATCATGATTTATATATTGCAATAGCATTTCACACGAAAATATAATTAAAAACTTATTTTATCTGGAAATTATTGGAACTACGAATTCCGGGACGGGTTTGATTAACACATCTTTGCACTTACACAATTTTAACTTTATCCTTAATATTTAAGAAAAAAAGCGATTTTGTTATGTATTAATGAAAAATATTACATCTATAATCCAGAAAATTCAGAGTAGAAATGTTTGAAAGCAAAACCAACTCAGCAGTATTGTCAGTCCGTGCTCTGTGATGTGTATAGAGTTTAAAAAAATTGAACACACCCGTGAAACGTATTTTTGTAAACAGGGCACGAGCTCTGTTATTGTTAATGTTTACGATTCACCGGGTGTGTTCAACTGTTAAACTCTGCACACACCACTGAGCACGGACTTACAATAAGTTGTGAGTGGATTTTGCTTTCGAACATTTCTACTCTGAATTTTCTGGGTTATAGTTTAATATTTTTCATTAATACACAGCAAAATTGCCACTTTTCTTAAGTATTAAGAATAAAATTAAAATATGTGAAAGCGCAAGGGTGTGTCAATCCAACGCGCACAGAAATTCGAAGTTTTAATAACTTTGAGATGAAATAAGATTTTTATTATATTTTAGTATGAAATGCTATAGCAACATATAAGTCATGAAATTATACAGAAAATTTGAGAAAATATTAACTTCAAATCTGTGTCCAAGCACCTTTAATATCGACCATATTAAAGCACTTTGAAAAAAAATGTGCACGGCTTGGTCAATATTCTTGCAAATTTTAAGTATGAAAAATAATTATCTGAATCTGGTGGGATAACTTTTCGGTGATGACGTCACTTCCGGATCTGAGATATAGACGATTTAAAGATTTTTGTTCCCAAAGGTCCTCGTTAATGTTATAAAAGGGAAAGAGATAGAGACAATGGAGGAATGATTGTTTAATAGCACATTTTTTTAATTTATCCGTTCTCTGATAAGTTCGGTAGATGTAGGGGTCGATAAGTGACTTAAAGCATCGCATTTTTCTTAGGGAAAAGGGAGCAATTATGATTTTTCCATACCATAAATCCCCCCCCCCCTCTCCCTCTCAAATGGTCTGTTTATAGTTATTTAATAAGTATTTCGAAGTATGAAATTTTTTTACGCATTTTATACAATTTTTTTTTATTTGTATTGTATTTGATTTTTCTGGGATGGGTGTCTGGCGCCCTCTTTTTTGACGCTTCTAAAGATTAACATTGAGTATCTTATTATGACACCTTGTCTTTTCATGTTTAAATCAAGCTTCTATAAATCTCTTTTTTTGTTCGCCCACGATCGCGTTATCGGCTATTCGGTTGTTACAAGGAAAGCATAGTTTAGAAAACATAGGTGATTTTAAATTTCTTAATTCAACGATAATTGCGTACTTCAGCAAACAAAGTTTGTGATCTTAGGCAGATAAATGATTATGCTTTCAGCAGCAAAAAGAACAAAACAAATCACTCTCTTTCTAAGGATATACAGCTTTATCAAATGATATTTTATTAAAATTTCGGAATATTTCATCACATTTTAGCTTTTGTAGAAGTCAAAATCAGATTATTCTATAAAACAAAACGGTTTATTTATTCTATGGACAATCATATACCTGAAGATAAGCAGACTGAGATCAAAAATCCAAATGAAGGGTTAGTTAACAGGCATCTAAAATGTCTCGTTAGGTTAAAACATGTTATCGTCAACAAGGTTGATGTT